AAGAGAGAAAATGTTAATAACGTCATTTAAATTCAAAGTATTTTGTGCCTACATTTTGTTTTGTTTTGTTTGTTTTTCCCAGACAGCAGGTGAAACACTTTGTAAGTACTCTCTCTATCATGCCAAGAAAGTTAACATTTACCTTCCTTCTGAAAATGGGCATTCCAGCTCCACTGACTCTCCATTTGGAACAATGGTGCTAAGCTTCCATGATCTTCCTAATTACCCACAATCAAAACCTAGAATAACTTTGACTTCTTCTTCTCTTTCATCCCTCAAATCAGTCACTCAATATTGTCAATTCTTACCATTCTAGGAGTTTTGAAGGATGTGATATCTTTATGGGAAGCTAAGAGGACATGGTATAAGAAGTGTTTAACAAAAAGTCGAAGGACAAAGAACTTGTTAAGAATATAAGGATCCCACTGAATACAATGAGAGGTGTTAGGGGAGAGTCAGACACAGAAAGAATAGTATCAGACAGGAATATAGTTGGACTGAATAGTTTAGGACCAGAGTGGTATTGGAGCCATTCAGCTTACCTCTAAAGTGACAAGAACAATGATATGTTAGAAAGGAAAAGTTGTATTTTCTTTTTCTTTGGAGTAATCTTTTAGTCCACTGAAATATAATCTTAGAATTTACAGAAACCTTAAATATCATTTAGTCCAAATTCTCACCCATAGCTTCCATAATATCTATGACAAGTGATTATCTGGCCTCTGCCTGAAGTCTTCCATTTCTGAAAAGCTCAAATTGTTAGAACATTTTTTTCCCTTTACTATGAATTGAATCAATATCTGTCTCTCTGTAACTTACACTTAGTAAGAAGTTACCATCTGCAAAGCAATGTGCTAGGCGGTAAGGATATAAATACAAAGAACTACATAATAATTCCTATTCACAAGAATTTTAAAGCAAGCTGACCTGGCCTCGTTGTGTAGGCATATGAAGGCCAAAATCATTCATTGAGTGCTTGCTATTGATACACTGTGCTAAGTCCTAGGGAGACAGATATAAACATAAAAGATAGTCTTTGTCCTCATGGAGTGGACAATCTAATAGAAGAAGATACCCAAAAGGGAACCAAAAAGAATGAGGGGGGGATGAAAATATCTGAGTTGAAGTTATGAAGTACAGAAAGTCAGGGGCAAAGCTGGGAGAGGAATGAAGGCCAACTTAAGCCCCCTCTGCTAAATATAGGCCCCAGGAGGATGTCACAGATGGAAGAAAGTGGTCTACCTGGTTTGGGATAGTCCAGGGAAAGAAGGCCAACAGGGATGGTTAGATATTCCAGGTGAGGAGGCCCCAGGTGCTGAGGGAAGTTCTAGGAGGAGAATGCAGCTAAAGCACAGGTTTGAAATCCCAGAAATTCATGAGCAAAGCAAAGAAGGAAATACATATACTTCCACTTAATTTTTTGGAATCTCAATGTCTTTACATTTATCTCTGATCAACTGTTGGGGTTTTTTTGATTCTTGATCCTATTATGAGAATTAGTGTGCTACATTGATTGGTGAGTACTGGACTAGGAGTCAGGAGACTTGAACTCTCATTTCAGCTCTGCTATTCCAACCTCAGACAAGTTGTTTAACCTCTAAGTTTTATCTGTAAATGAAGAGGCTGGGTCAGATGGTCTATATAGACACTTTTAACTTTAAAATTCTATTATTAGATCATCTTGGCTCTCTCTTCCAATTTTGAGTCATCCAAAATATGTGATCATCATGCTTTTTCTGTGTTCTTCCAAGTCACTGATAAAAATATTGAATAGATCTAGGCAAAAGACAAAGTATATCTTGATTGACATTGAGTCAAAACTTTTTGTGTATAGGTTTTCTAAATGTCTATAAATGCAACTAACTACTATCTTCCACTCCATCTCATTTACCAGGATATCACGAATATTTTTATCAGACTTATTGCTCAAATCAAGATACCCTATATTTGCTGCAACATTTTACCTAACAATCTAAGAAGACTATCCAAAAAGAATCCGAATATCATGGTTGCAGAACAATAAGGCACCTTAGAGGTCATCTAGTCACTCATTTCATAGATAAAGAAAGTAGGCCCCAGGAATGTTAAGTGACTTATATAAGATGCCATAGGATTTAAGTATCAGAGGTAGGATTGAAAATCAGGTCTTTTGAATGAAAATCCAGTGCTCTTTGCAAGACTTGTTTATAGTTAACTGAATGCTAGTTATCTTGCTTACTTTTATTTTTTTCCTTCATTATTCAAAAGTAATAAAGAATTGGGGGGGCAGAGCCAAGATGGCAGAGTAAAAGCATAACTTGCTTGAGCTCCCCCCCAAACCCCTTCAAATACCTGTAAAAAAATGACTCTAAATAAATTCTAGAGCAGCATAATCCATAAAAAGACAGAGTGAAACAAATCTCCAGCCCAAAACAACCATAGGCCAGAAAAGGAGTAAACACTTTGCCCTTGATCATACCACCTTGGAAGAACTGAAAATTTCCAGATCCCTAGAAGTATCTCTGAAAACAGCTACATTAAACCCCCAAAGCTTGAGATAGTACATTCTCCACAATGGAAGTAGGCCCCTACCTTAACAAAGAGTTTAAAATTCAAGTAATTGGCTGGGATCATGAGCAAACAGCACAAAAAAAAAAGTCTTTGGTGACAAAGAAGATCAAAACATACAACCAGAACAAGACAACAAAGTCAAAGCTCCCACATTCAAAGCCTCCAAGAAAAATATGAATCAGTCCCAGGCCTTGGAAGAGCTCAAAAAAGATTTTTGAGAAGCAAAAGAGAATTAGAGGAAAAACTAGGAAGAGAAATGAGAGTGATGCCAGAAAATCACAAAAAACAAGCCAACAGCTTGCTAAAGGAGACCCAAAAAAATAATGAAGAAAATAACACCTTAAAAAATAGACTAACCCAAATGGCAAAAGAGGTCCAAAAAGCCAATGAGAAGAATTCCTTAAAAAGCAGAATTGGATAAATGGAAAAGGAAGTTCAAAAGCTCACTGAAGAAAATACTTCCTTAAAAATTAGAATGGAGCAAATGGAAGCTAATGACTTTATGAGAAATCAAGATATTGTAAAACAAAACCAAAAGAATGAAAAAAAATAGAAGACTGTGAAATATTTTATTGGAAAAACAACTGACCTGGAAAACAGAGCCAAGAGAGATCCTTTTAAATTACTGGACTATCTGAAAGCCATGATCCAAAAAAAGAGCCTAGACATCATTTTTCAAGAAATTATCAAGGAAAACTGCCCTGATATTCTAGAACCAGAGGGTAAAAGAGAAATCAAAAGAATCCACCAATCACCTCCTGAAACAGACCCCCAAAGGAAAACTTCTAGGAATATTGTAGCCAAATTCCAGAGTTCCCCAGTCAAGGAGAAAGTATTGCAAGCAGCCAGAAAGAAACAACCCAAGCATTGTGGAAACACAATCAGGATAACACAAGATTTAGCAGCTTCTACATTAGGGGACCAGAGGGCTTGGAATATAATATTCCAGGGGCCAAAGGAGATAGGATTACAGCCAAGAATCACCTACCCAGCAAAACTGAGTATAATCCTTCAGGGGGAAAATGGACATTCAGTGAAAGAGAGGACTTTCAAGCATTCTTCATGAAAAGACAAGGGCTGAATAGAAGATTTGGCTTTCAAATATAAGACTCAAGAGAAGCATGAAGAGGTAAACAGGAAAGAGAAACCATAAGGGACTTATTAAGGTTGAACTGTTTATATTCCTACATGGAAAGATGATATTTGTAACTCATGAGACCTTTGTCAGTATTAGAGTAACTGGAAGGGGAAAAAAATCATATGGATAGATAGATAGATAGATAGATAGATAGATAGATAGATAGATAGATAGATAGATAGATACATAGATACATAGATACATAGATACATAGATACATAGATAAATGACACAGGGTAAGTTAAAGATGAAGGGGTGCTAACTAAAAAATAAAATTAAAGGGTGAGAGAGGATTATACTGGGAGAAGGAAAAAGAGAGATGTAGAACGGGGTAAATTATCTCAGATAAAACAGACAAGAAAAAGCTTTTACAGTGGAAGGGAAGTGGGGGAAGGTGAGAGGGAATGAGTGAATCTTATTCTCAGCAGATTTGGCTTAAGAAGGGAATAACATACACACTCAATTGGGTATGGAAATCTGTCTTACTCTACAGGAAAATAGGGGGGAAGGGAATAAGAGAGAGGAGGATGATAGAAGGGAGGGCAGATTGAAGGAGGGGTAATCAGAAGCAAATACTTCTGAGGAGGGACATGGTCAAAAGACAGGATAGAATAAATGGGGGGGCGGCACAGGATTAAGAGAAATATACTTAGTTTTTTCACAACATGACTACTATTGAAATGTTTTGCATGACTACACATGTATAACCTGTATCGAGTTGCTTACATTCTCAATAAGGGTGAGTGGGGAGGGAGAAAGGGAGAAAATTTAGAACCCAAAGTTTTAAAAACAAACGTTAAAAATTGTTTTCACATGCAACTGCAAGATAAGATATACAGGCAATAGGGTATATAAATCTATTCTGCCCTATGGGAAAATAGAAAGGGAAGGTGATGGGGGGGTAATAGAAGGGAGAGAAGATTAGGGGAAGGGGTATTCAGAATGCATGCCATCTTGGGGTGGGGGAGGGGCGAGATGCAGAGAAAATTTGAAACTCAAAATCTTGTGGAAGTGAATGTTGAAAACTAAAAATAAATAAATTAATAAGTTTTTTAAAAAAAGAATGATCTCTACCACAAAGGCAATAAATCTCATCCAACCTTTGTTTAAAGATTTCCAATTTGGAAGAAATCGGCTAGATCCCAAAAGAAGCTATTCTCCTTCTTGATTTGCTCTAATTATTAGGAAAATTTTGCTCTCTTTGAGGAAAATTCACCCCTTTGCAATTTGTAACTTTTGCAAGTCATGATCTTCAAATGTTAACAAAAGAATACACCCGTTTTTCCAGCAGTGCTGATCTCCCCATGCCAATATGCCTCTCGCAAAAGACCTGCCACCCCCCTCTCCTGAGGAGGAAAAGCAGAAACACAAGAAGAAGTGCCTGGAGCAGAGTCTGAACTCGCATTTCATGGATGTAGAGGGCCCAGGGTGCTATAAAATCACCACTGTCTTCAGCCGCACACAAACAGTGGTTCTCTGTGTGGGATGCTGCACTGTGCTCTGTCAGCCTACTGCAGGAAAGGCAAGACTTAATGAAGGATGCTCCTTCAGACAGAAGCAGCACTAATGATGGAATCAAGATGACTGAGAACTTGCAAAGAATAAAACAAATCTGATACAAAAAAAAAAGAATATGCTCACTATTGAGCCCTAAATGTATATCTGAGAGTAATGGGGTAAAAGGAAAAGCTATATTAATCAGTTGGTAGAGAGGGTGGTACCTCAGAGGATGACCTCCTTTGTGCTCAGGCAAGAGGAGCTGAGTCGAGATATAGAAGGAAGGGGCCCATTTAGCAGATATGTGCTAAGTCAGGGTAGGCTCCAAGGGTAGATGGTGGGGATAAAGACAAACTTTATTTACCTCATAATTGTGCCAGTGGTTGACCCTATGACCTTCCATCCTTTGTTGACAGACAGAAGTTTTGTTCTATAGTATTTTTGTCTTGTATAGCTCTCTCTCTCTCTCTCTCTCTCTCTCTCTCTCTCTCTCTCTCTCTCCCTCTCTCTCTCTCTTGCTCTCTCTCTAGCAGGAACATATCCAACAATCTGAAGGATGATACCAACACGAAGACTTGTTTTTAATGTGGCAGACCTTGTTTTTAATTAAATTTCATTTTTAATTTATGGAATAAAACAAGCATTCAAATAAAAAAAAGATGATTGCACATGAAACTGCAAAAAAAGTAATAGAGAATTGAAAATGATTAAGAATTCCTCGGATAGGTGCTACCTTCCTCCTAGCCATCAAGGAAGAAAAACAAAAAAAAAAAGAAAGAAAGAAAGAAATCACTGAGAAACCAGGCACTATCCTCAAAGCCTGATCTCTGACAAAGATGGGGATAAATTAAGAAGGAACAGATTCAGCTTCCTTTTGAAGTCAAGAAAAGGGTTCAATGTCCTACCCTACAAGGCTCCTTTCTTATCTCTGACAAGGCTATTACTTCCTTCAGTGAAATTTTCATCCTAAGGATTCAGCACAAGATTGGTTGTCAGTAGTGAGACAGATACAATTCTGCGATGTAACAACAATCCTAGAGTTGTTCTGGGCCAATGATGATCTTAGCAAGTTGGTTATAGATAGAGTTCCTACCCAGCATTTTCCCAAGCATCTTGGCAGCCTTGGATCCATGTAAGAGCTTCCATGTGACAGTATCTAGAACAGACACACTGGTTTCATCACATACATTACATACATAATTCATTACATACATACATAATTCTCATGGCAAATATTTGTGATTGTAAGCTTAGAATTTAATTTTTCAAATCTCATCCCTCTTTAGAGAGATATTTTCTCTGAACTTTGACATGTGTTTTCCAAAGTCTGCCGTATATCCCTAATTAAGACTAGTAATTCACTTCTTTTGCCATTATTCTTCCAGTATGAAATAGTTCCTTTCTTCTACAGGCTTTATTGGACAAGGCCAAGACACATATAAATGAAATGATACTATTATAATAGCTGACCTACCAATTATTTCCAAAAAGTAGCAGTTCAATATCTTTCTTCAAGGTCAGCTTTTCCCATTTGCCCAGCGTGAGCATTTGCATTCATGTTATGATTGTAAAAACAGTGAGAAAAGTCCCACCAACTCAGCAACAATAACAATAACAACAACAACAACAACAACGAAAAAGTCTTCACTTATATTTCAATGCCTGAAATTCCATTAACGACAGATAAAGATTTTCATTTAATTTTGCGTAAACTTCAGTGCCTTACCCAAAGTGGGCACTCAATAAATACCCTAAATTTAAATGAATTTCACAATTAAAGAAAAGTCTTAAAATGCAAATATACCTGAGAGAAAACATTGACAAATTCATTCCTGCTGAGGTATAAGTGATTAATGTTAGATCCTTTCTGAGAAAGGAAGGAACTGAGGGAGAACAAAAGAGCTCTGAGTACTTCTAGATCCTATCATAGAGGAAGTATGGTGCCAAAGCCTTGTACTAAGAGATGTGAAAAAAAATCCTCGGAGGGTCCACGACCACTTCACAATTTTGTCTATATGGTGGCCCTACTTTTTGTTAGCATTTAAAAAAATCAGATTAAAAAAATGCTGACCTGGAGTTATCTGAGTCTGATATATTAACCACTAAAGTGACATACTAGTGGATTCACTAAAAAAGGTTTACTTCTGGCTGAAAGTTTAATTTTTCCAACTAAATTATATATCTATATCTATATATCTATCTATAGATAGATAGATAGATAGATATCTTATCTATCTATAGATAGATAGATATATCTAGATAGATAGATAGATAGATAGATAGATAGATAGATAGATAGATAGATAGATAGATAGATAGATAAGTTAATACCCCCAGGATCATAGTTTCAGTCATGGATTTCAGTAGTACAATATTTTCAGGCTTTATTTTTTATCTCCTTAAACTTCGTCACTTTCCAAATTAGTTGTTGTTTGTTTGTTTGTTTGTTTAACTGACTTGTGAATTGTGACCAGTGGTCTCTCTTTTAATTGCCTAATGGCTCTGAACTGCTTTGCCAGATCTTGGCTTACTGAATGGAAATGCAAAATGACATGCTCACTATTTCCCTTCAGGAATGCCCATGATTTGGGACGATATAACCAAATCCCTATGGATGCCTAAGAATAAATGAGAAATTCAGACTTCTCTTCCTTGTTCAGAAAACATGCTCTCTGTCAAAGGAACCACTTGCAGCCTTTCCACACACTGCAGTTTCTTTTTTTGTTAACATGAAATCTGATAAATGAATTGGTTTCTTCTTATTCACACTGATACAATTCTCTCCTAAGATTCTACAATTTTTTTAAGAATGCATCTTGGAATATAAATTGAAAATTGAAGAGCAATAAAAAGAAAAATCGTTTCTACTTCACCTCCTGGCAGATATTACATCTTCAGGCAACTCTTACTGGGGTTTAAAGGGCTGTGTGACAATCTAATTGTTCTACTTGATTGCAAATCATAGTACATGCAGGGAAAGATGAGTCTAACTTGGCATATGTATTATTAAAATCTCTTAAATATTCTTGCAGAGAAGATGGGAACTTCACTACATGGAGACTGGAGGAAAATAAGAGAGAGACAGACAGACAGACAGAAATAGAGACAGACCAACAGAGAGAAAAAAATAGAAAGAGATAGAAACAGAAACAGGGAGACAAAGATCAGGAGAGAGACAGGGAAAGAGACAGAGGAAATAGGAAAAGAGAGGCAAAGGCAGAGAGACAGAGAGCTCTTACATGCAAGAATCTTGAGATTCTCTATGCTGTAATATATTTATGGATGTATAAAGAATATATTAACCAATGGCAGAGTCACAGAAGTAGAGGTGGGGGAGGAGAATACAAAGGGAGAAACAAACTGCACGAATGAGCATTTTAAATGTGTAAAGGGATTTAATATGAACCTGTGTTTGAAAGTATTCTAAAATACCTCAAGGCCTAAATACTCCAACAGATGTGTGATTTCACTGATGTGAGTAAAGCTTCTATCAATTCAGATGACAATCCATTCATGACTGCCCATCCTCAGGTCAAGTAAATAAATATTTATTAGATGTCTACAATGTGCCAGGTGCTGTGTTAAGTGTTAGGAGCACCAAGAAAGGGAAAAGTTAGCTCCTGCTCTCAAAGAGTTCATGATCTAATAGGGGAAGCAACAAGCAAAGAGCAAATATAAACAAGAATATAAACTCAATAATTGAAGATAATCTTGGATGGAAGGCACAAGAATTAAGGAAGACTGGGAAAGGCTTCTTACAGAAGGTAAGTATTTTAGCTGAGATTTGAAGGAAGTCAAGGAAGCCAGAAGATGGAGATGAAGAAGAAGATAATTCCAGGCATGGAGGACAAGCTAGTGAAAATTCACAGTCAGAATGTCATATATCTTCAGCAAGAAACAGCAAGGAAGCCAGTATCACTTGATTATAAAGTACATGGAGGGGAGTAAGAAGAAAACAGATTGTAAAAGTAGGAAAGGGCCAAGTTGTGAAGAACTTTAAAAACCAGTGGATTTTATATTTAATCTTTGAGTTATAGGGAGCTACTGGAGTTTACTTACTATGATGACATGATCAGACCTAGGCTTTAGGAAAGTGACTTTGGAAATTCAGAAGTCAGATCAATCGGGAGACTATTGTAATAGTCCAGATGTGAAGCGATGAGGGTCTGGACTATGATATTGAGAGTATCAGAAGAGATAAGGTAGTGTATATGACAGATGTTGCAAAGACAGAAGTAACAGGGCTTGGCACAGACTGGATATGAAGAGAGAAAGTGAGGTGACTTCAACAGTAATAGAGAAGTTAGGAAAAAAGAGAAGGTGAGGGTACAGAGAAAGATAATCAGTTCATTTTGGGATATGTTGATTTTAAGATGTCTATGAGACATAGGCTGAGATGTCCTAGAGAGAGACATGCAAGCCTAAAAGTCATGAAAGAGGTTAGGGCTGGATAAATAGATTTGGGAATCATTAGCATAGAGATGAGAGCTGAATCTATGGGAGCTAACGAGATCACCCAACAAAAATGTATAGCGGGAGAAGAGAAGAGGGCCCAGGAGAAAGCCTTGGGGGATACCCACAGTCAGCTAATACAGCCTTGCTGAAGATCCATTAAAATGGACTGAGCAGAAATATTCTAAATGGTAGGAGGAAGACTAGGAGAGTAAAATACATGAAAACCGAGGGAGAAAAGCACTAAGGAGAAGAGGGTGATCAACAGTGCAGAGAGGTCAAGAAGAATGAGGACATTGAGAAAAGGCCATCCTGTGGCCTTTTTCTTGTTCATATCTTCCATAAATTCACCATGAAGGGCCATTCAAGAAGCTAGAAGCATTCCTTAACATCTTCTGGCATGATGAGGATAACAATGGAGCAAGAAAGCTGTACATTGGTTATCCTTTGCTCTCAACATTTGACCCACTCATCTTCTTTTTTAATAATAAATTTCTTTGGCAGGATGCTTTAAATTGTTTCTCCGTTGTAATTCCCTGTCTGTAATGCGTTGAAATCTGCTCATACACACCATGGGCTTCTCCACTGTCCTTTAGTGAATCCTCACATATAATTCCT